TATCCAGCAGTTGATCTGATAAGTGACTCGCCTCTTGTAAGACGGAGAACATAATTTTCAACAGAAACTGCTCCACCTGATGTGCCTGGTCAGGACTATAGAGAAAGAAGAAAGAGTAAAATTAAGATTCACGTATATGTACACGTACATGTATCTGATTATTTCTTGTATTTTCTTGAATAGCTCAACGAGGATGTCCTGATCGTCAAACTTCAAGCACATGTTGAATAACGACAGTACTGATAATATCTGAGGAAGAAGAGGATTATGTGTGTTGTTATGGTAACAAGCCACACCTCTAAGAGAGAGTAAGTTTGTTTGTAAAGCGAGTCTGAGGACTTCTTGAGAGAATCAAATGAAGAAATGAACAACCTGAATACAGACTAGGGGGAGGTGAGGGGAGGGGCAGGAGAGAGAGAGTGTGTATTAATAATATTAGAGTGACATTAATTAATAATTAATTAATTAATTAACTAACTAATTAATTAATTAACTAATTAATTAATTAATGTTGAATATCAAGTACATGTACATGTACTACATGTACATGTACATGTCCTTTAAAAAGTAATAGATACTATTGAAATTGAGAGGAGAATTGCATTTTGTGAATTTCACATTATTTGTCAAAAATTATAGATTCTAAGTACATGTACATGTACATGTAGGTATATCAATCCACAAAATTTTACGGGTAATCGCACAAAAATTTACAACTGTATTAAATTAAGATAGACATACTTTCTTTTGCTTCTCGTTGTGTGGAATATCAAGTAAGAACAGTCTGTAGAGATTAGCAAGTACTAGAGCCACGAGTGAACGGGTTTCATCAGTTTTATTGAGGATTGAGGGAGAAAGGAGGTCCAGCGAGAGAGTGATCAATTCATCGTTCGTCCCGTCCACCACTTCATCAATATCTTCAAGATAATTCAAACAATCCTGAGTAAAAGAGTTACTATAAAATTAATATCTACACCAATTGCAGGCATCCACTTTTAATCTCTTGATAAGTTCCTCGTTAGCGAGTTTGGCCGTTATTTCTTTGAATGGCAAAGCACTAGAGCCAGCTCCTCGTTGCTTTCTTTGTCGAGGCATGGCCTAAGAGCTTCCAAAAACCTTACAACCTTTCCTTCAGCTGCTGCTGTAAGTTCTGAACTCCTGAAAAAATGGCGGGGCGGCGCAGAAAGTGGGTGTGGCAGTAGATTAATAGTTACTTAACTAGAATTAATAACTAATTTTATTTTAATATAGAAGTGCAGCATTGATTTATTGCCGGTTAGGGCGGAGCTTTAAGCGGGGTTAACCACACCTACTCAGCCTATTTAAGCCTCGGTTGAGGCCACGGTAGACAGCGTGTTTGCAGTCATTTGAGCTAAAGCATTTCAAGCCAGTCTTGCAGTCTTATGTGCAGTCTTCTGTCTCTGAGCCTTCTAGCAAGTCTTTCTGTTCTTTCTGTTCTGAGGATGGCATCCGTTCATGGGACTACTAGTAGCAGTACTGGTGCTGGGACGTCGACAACCGCGATCTCTTCCACGGCAGTTGGCGTGGGCAGTGCTGGCTCAGCTACCGGATCTTCTTCCACTAGTACTGCAGTCTCCAGCCATTCCTCACGGCCGATCACTACCAGCAGCACGAGCTCCGAGGCTCTCTCAGGACCAGAAGCCCTCATTCGGGTTTTGAACGCTGCTGTAGAGTCTGGGATAGAGAGAGGAATTGATCGAGCTCTCCGTCTCTCCTCCCGTCCCCCTGGAGCTGGCGGGCCACCACTGCCTCCCTCGTCTGATGGTTCACGGCCGCCCGGCTCTACAGCTCATTCTCTCCCAGCCATTCCACTCCTATCAGGTATGTAGTTTTGATATTGCTGGCTCATCTGCCTTCCATTGCATTGATTGCTCCAGCATTGCATAAATTACATTGATACAATTGCGTTGCTTATAGGCCAATTACATTTTCACACCTTTATTATTGTGTAAGCTTTATACCACAGACACCTTCCCACCTCCCCTGCAGGGGAGGGGACTTGCAAAAAATGCATTTCTGAGCAGGCTATATGCTATTGGCCACCCACAGCAGGTGGGCCCAGGGCCTCATCTTCCCTCTCCTTCTGTATTCTTACTTTTACCTTCTCTTCCCCCTCTACTCTCTCCTCTCTCACTTGATCCCTTCCCTCCCCCTGTCCTCTTCTTTTCTCCTCCCAATTCTCTGCCTACCTTCGTGCAGATGCAAGCTCATCCAGGGTCAGCTCAGCAGTGACCAGTGAGGTGGGGCACAGCCTCCCAGCCTCATTGTCATCCGCAGCAGACACGACCCACTCGCTGCCCTTATTCTCAATGGCTAGCACCCTGAATTGGGACCCTCTAAGCCTGTGGTCGCACCATGCAGCACTACCCACAGCTAAGACAGCAGCGATATCACTAGCCACATCTCTTCCCACCATCCCCGGCAAGGTGGTCGAGAAGATCAGAAGTGGGGGCTACGTTGAGCTCAAAGAGCTGTTAGT